TTTGACTTCTGATTATTTCCTGCTTCCTGTGACTACTGGTCATTTCCTGAATTGAAGAAGAACTAGCAGCACTAGACTAGCACTAGTAGAACTAGAGTAGCACGTAGGTCAGCAGAAACCATACCCGATGACGTGTCGAGGAAAATCTTGTTGATGAGGGTAACTGACTCTTCTCTCCTGTGCCGTCACCAAAAAGAACGCATCCTACACGGGACGCAACCCCCGAGACGCAGGAATCAATAATTTCAGAAAAAATTCCGGCCGTGAAAGCCGTAATTATACGGACACCGTGCGTGCGCGTCCCCGGCTCGGAGGCCGAAATTTCCAGGCGCAGCACTCAGAGCAGTCGAAACTTAGGCTCCAGCACCCGGAACTTTCGGCCTCTGAGCCCGGCACGGACGGTATGTCTACATAGCCCGGAACTTTTATTCCAGTGTGTTGAAGACGATCCGAATGGTAGATTACCATTTTGCGTGGTGATGTTACAAAAACTTAAGCAGATCCTGATATGGTAAAACGAAATTGCTCCTTAGATCAATCATCCTCTATTTATTGGCACGGTGTTTTGAAACGACATAATTGCAGGTACTAGTCGGACTAAAATCCACATGAAGTTAGGTAAGCCCAGAGGTCCACGCATGATTCCCTCGGAAGATAAACGTTTGGGCGGGAATATTAAATGACAGATCATCGGTCCATTTTTTTACGGACGGAAATCTCCCCAATAAGAATTGTCTTCAGTTGTAGGAGGACGCATTGGCCCTAAATTTTGCTGGTAACGTAAAAAAACGCTGGTAGAATTTTTGGAAGAATCCTATGCAGAATTTGAACCCTAGTTCCGACAAGATGGGGCGCTCGCTCATTATGCCTTGGCATGGTGCGAAATGTTTGCGGCAACTCGCGATATGATCGCGATTCGGACATGGCTGAACCCTTTTCGATAAGATGACGAGAAGATACCATTACTTTCTGTAAACCTCCAGGTTTATTTAGTCTCCGACAAGATCATTGTGCTTCGGACGCTTCGCGCTTCGCGGACGCTAAGAAAACCTCTATTTACCGCCAAAAATAGAGGCGACATGCAGGTATATTTTTCCAGGGTTTGAAAACAGGCATCTGGAAGTATTGAGGATGAAAGAGGGAAAAACGCCGCTGTTGCATCGGAAAAGTTTTCCACGTGCACTATGCACTTGGTTGTAGGGAAGGATTCTAAGCCCGCTGATCATTTTGCGATCAATTTTAATTAAATAGTAGAGTTCAACTCTAAGCGAGAAAATAGTAGAAATCGTTCCTAAAATTCCATGAGAATGCTGATTATCGGCAATACATCGTCGTTTAAAAGTGTAATGAATCAAATAAATAATCAAATTTGTTGCGGTTTCATCCATCTCCGTCTCATAAAAACTTAAGGAATAGTAATTAGTTCGTTATACATTTTTTCATATTTATCATGTTAACCAGAGTATTTATTTTTTCATTATAGGTATTCACTTCGTCTCCAGAGGGTATGAAAGGATTTTCCAAAACTAACAATTTTCATGAAAATTTTGCGATGAATGATCAAAAAACAGCGAATATTCCAGTTCTGTAGCGCATGAACGCGGGCCGACGCGAGGTTGCACGGCGCATAAGTGGCGAACCTCTACCCGAGCGCGCGACCAAAACCGTCCTCACGCGTTTTCTATTCGTCACAAAAAAAAGGTTTTGGTATCGTTTTGAAGGTCAGAAAATCTTCTATCCACCTCAAGAAAATAAAGGGCTCTAATTGCGCCCAGAAACAAAAAATCAACGGCTGTTAAGATGATCGAAATTGAAAAATTCACGTATTTTTTCATAATATGGCAAATTATTTAAAGGTAAATGTAAAAATGCACATTATTTGAAAAGGTCTTTATAGTAGCTTTCAAACGAGACCAAAAGTTTGAAAATCGAACGAACGGTTGGAGAGATACAGCGCCTTTTACACGTGTGAAGCGCGCCCGTGGCCATGAACGCGGGGTGGAAATCGCGCGCCGCGGCCGATCGCGCGATACTTAAATGGCTCTCGCGGGCTAACTACTCGTAGCACAAAAATGGTTATGGTATCAAATTAAACGCGAGATCAAGACCCATCTCTTTTACTAAAGAGAAAATATCAATTTTCCGGCTCAGTTAAAAGTTATTTTGCTTTGAAATTTAAGGAATTTTCAAGGAAAACATTTTTTGTAAAATTTTGGACAAATTGTTGGCCAAATTGAATTTGTTATAATTTATTCATATTCTAGGCCCTTTTAGCTCTCACTTAAAAAAAAGAAAATCAAAATCGGACAATTAGCAACAGAGATATATCACTTCAAAAAAGCGCTTGGCCGCCATCTTTAACGGCCGCCATCTTGGATCCTGCACGGATTTGAAAGTGGTTCTACGGACAAAAACTTCTATTTTTTCATCTAGTATGACCTCCCGAAGTGGCAATTTCCAATCAAAAAATCGTCGATTTTGATCGTACCCACCGTACTACACGGCGCGGCTCCCGGCCGCGTCCGACGCATCCACGCGTGTCGTCTATAAAAAGGCAGCCGCCAGGCGTGCGGTCATCAGTGTTCCCAGGCGTACGGATATTTCCGCGCCGCGCGGACAGCGTACGGACAAAAACCTTATGGGAAAATTTTTCCCTATCTTATTTTGTCCGTACGCTCGCCCGGCCCTGTCCGTGCGTCTGTTTATCCGCTTTTCTTTGCAATATTTATTACTTTTGCGTAAGTTATTGATAAAATGATGTTTAGTATGAAAGCCGGGTATCGTTTGGGAACAAATTAGATACTTTTTGCATTAATTATATTGTATTCTTATCAAAATTCAGTCATTTCATTTATGTCCGTGCGCCCTCAACAAAACAACAAAACAGCCGGAACCGGAAACGGAATTCACGGAACACGGACGGAGCACGGAGCGGCACGGATATACACGAGCCCATCCGGAGAGCGTACGGACATTTTAAGATAGGAGCACCTGGGAACACTGGCGGTCATCATTCGATCATCGCTCTTCGATCAGTCAAGTCCTCCGTCTGCGCTCCTGACCAAGGCTTCCTGTATTTGATCACTGCTGCTCTTCACCGCACGGTAATAAACTGAGAGATAACAACTGGAAAAAGGCTCTTTCGTATAGCCTCCGAATTTTCTGTCTCTAAATTTTCAATTACTAAATTGTATCCATAAACTTCATTTTTGGATAGCTTTTCTCTTGCCCCACTCAAAATGTTTTCCTATCGTACATGAAAATGAAAGTTGTAGAAGTTGTCAAGTTGTTTATTCGAAATTGTTGTTGGGTCAGTCCATTGTAACGGGCCGGACAACCGCACGCCTTTGAGTAATAAAGAAATGAATTTAAAATCACATAAATTTAAAATAAATTGTACCAGTAGATAGAGCTCAGTGTGTTATTTCTAAAAGTGTACGAACTTACTTTTTTGTTTTAATTTTTAAGGGAGTTATACCAAAAATAGAGCCGTAACGGGACGGACAGTTTTTGGAAGTGAGTTTTGACTCCCTTGAGAAAATTGAATAACTCAGCGAATTTTACCATGTAAAAAATCCACAAAAAATGTATATAGTCCTCAAGGGTTCAAGGTACTATGCTATTTAAACTAATTTTCATAAGTATTGAATTAAGCATAAAAAAAATTGAAAAATCTGCGTAACGGGACGGACAGCATTTGTAACGGGCCGGACAGAGTACGACTGACACATGGTTTTACGGCTGAAAGTCATCTGTATATGATCNCAAACAAAAACACACAAAATAAACAAGAAAAATCGCGAAACCCGTATATTTTCGGAAACTAGAAGTTATTTGCCGTTCAAAAATGTATTCAAAAAGAAGTTTCACTGTATTTCAACTTTAAACCCTCAGGTTGACCTTACCATGGACCGACCCTGTTGAGACTTCTCAACAACTTCACTAAGAAATTCTCATCAAAAGCTCACGTTTGGCTCGCGTGCTCTGTGCACATGGACCGGGATAGAATGTTGCAATGTTGACCGAACGGAGCAGGGTGAAATCAGGAGCTATATCATTCCAATCATTCGGTTTTAACACAAAAACATGTGAAAATGTAGGATGCGAGGAGCAATCTTTTGTATTGTAGTGCTAACTGGCAATCAGCGCGATAAACGAAAATGAACAAAATATATTTGTCGAAACTTCCACCAATTCCAAGATTCCATGACAAGTGCTCCGAAATCTCTAAAATCGACGAACTTAAAAACCCTTACACCAATGGATTGGGCATTCAAATTGTAGAAACTATAGACATTTTTTAATTGTTTTTCAGTACAGGTGATCGGAGAGAGGCTTCATTTTTTTGAGCACGTGTTCTATAAAAAAGCAGCAAACGGGATCCTACCGATAAAATCCGACGGAGTACATCTTCACGCGCGAGGTCTCTTGCATGACCTCCTGGAGGATCATGGAGATAAGCTTATCTTAAAATTTAGTTGTGTTCAATTTTTTCCCTCGAAAATGGAGCTGTCGGTATGCCACGTCTCCACGTTCGAGGAAAGTCGCGCCTTCTACGATTTAAACCCCGTTCAGGAACACCGTACTTGGTGTGTTTCACTGAGACAATGCTTGGTTTCTCATAACTCGCGAAGACGATTTCAGCGAAAAACTGTTCTATATGAGCACATTTTTGTGTTCAATTTCTTTTAACAGTGTACGTCACAACAAGTTCAAAGGACGACACATGTCTGTCATGTGTCAGCACTAAAGCTTATCACTGATCGGCCAGATAATACACCCACGCTCTTGCAACATCATTGAAATAGACCCGTCTTTTCGTTTTTGAGACTTGCTGGTAACGCGCGTGTAAATCGAGATCATCCATCCTAACCCAATGTTCTGCGGTGGCCGTTAGTGCGCGACAAAACTTCCTTTTAGGCTTTGGTTTTAAAACATGTGTTAAAGTAAAATTAGGTTAGAAATAATGCATTAACGTAGCTGAATAATATCTGAGTAGCGGACAACAGTGTTTCGGTCAAAATTCGTTCAACCCAAGTATAGAGAGGAACAAGCAGATGGAAAAGTAGGCAGAGATCTTTCAGGACCAGCCTCGAATAAACTGTGCTTGCTGCGAAGCAGTACGCATTAGTACTGAACCGAGTGCGCTTCATGATAACCACAAGTTTAGTGATGTGAAGTTTTTGTTCAACCTTACAACAGTGAGCGACCAATAATAATTTTCACTTTCACCACGCAATGAAGCTGCATTGCATGTTGTTAACATTTATGCTTACATCTGCTGCGTGCAGGGTCAGAGGCACCGTTTACACCAACAATTGGTTGAGATACTTGAATCCGTTAAATTACGGCACCAGCTGGTTCCAATACCTGAACCCGTTCCACAAAACCAGCCCGACTCAGCATCACCGCCCCAACTTAACCGCCTCGCCGGGCAACACCTCGAAAAACGTAGACAAGGTGTTCGACTACATGTTGGGCAAGGTCCGCACGCTACTGGTGAACGCCGGGCAAAGGACCATTTCCATCCCGGACATTAGCGAGCCCTTCCAGAAACTCGGGATTCAGGGGCAGTTCAGGTCGTGGAACGGGTCTTTCGAGGACCTGAGCACGATCTACCGGACGGGCGACATCCAGGCGGACGTGCGTCCTGCCTCGCTCCGCGTGCGTTTCTCCGTGGGCCTCAAAGACGCGCTCCTCAGGTACGAGAACTACCACATCAGGTTCCTCAACGTGGGCCCGGACGGGCGGCTCGCCATGAAGATCTCCGACAATTCGCTCAACGTAGACGTGACGGTGTCGTACAACCCCAAGGTGGGCATCAGCCGCTCCTGCAAGGTCAAGCTCAACCGCATCCGCCTCGACAAATTCGACGGCGTCCAGGTGGACATGACAGGGCTGGGCCCCTTCAACTGGGGCCTCAACATGGTGTCGCGCTGGGCCCTCGGGGCGCTTCAGACGGACATCAAGGATAAGTTCGAGAGCGTCATCAAATCGAACCTCCAATCGGTGCTCGACTATGGCGATCTGTGTAGAAAGCTGAGGACTGGATAAAAGGTTGAGTATCGGGAAGGAAAACGATCACTGGAAAAAAAACCACATTGGATCTAGAGTCCAGACTCTTGAAAACATTGACAAGAAAAATACTCTTGATTCAATCGGATTTTTGCTTGAATCAAAACGAAATCCGCTTAAATTAAGAGGCTTGGTTCTTGATTTAAGCTGGATTCTGATTGAATCAAGAGTACTTTTGCTTGTCGATGTTTTTAAGAGTCTGGACTCTAGATCCAATGTGTGTTTTTTTTTTCCAGAGAAGGGTTGAGCTTGGTGATGGCGATTCTTGGATCGATCTTCCAGAGGATCGATTCTTTCACGCCGATCTTCCGCGTGGATCGATCGTTTGTTTACAAACTGAAGTATAAAAAGATCGTCACGTGACGATCTTGAATCGATTCAGAATCGTCACCATGACAAAAATCATATAACATTAGCTGATTTTGAAATTTCAGATCGCCGGGAAAGATCGGATCGTTGGATCGATCTTTTGACCAGATCTTTGAATCCGATCGGTTCTCCTCCCTAGCTGATTCACATCGATCCTGAAGAATCGATACTCAGTCCAAGAATCGCCATCTGAGCTTTTAGCCGATTCAGTGGAAGCTAGACTATGTAAATTCAAGCCATGCTTGAAAATGAGACGGATTGCACAAGAATTACATGTTCGTTTAAAAACAGTGATCGTGTTTTAGCCTTACAACTGATTGCACTTTTGCTTTAATTTAACTTTTACTCCTTGGTAGACTTTAGAATTCACTCCTTGTAGTTTATGAACCTTTAACACCATGTGAGCTACCATGTGTACACGGAAAAAGATTAAATTGCTGATTCAAAAATTCAATCGCTAAAAACAGTGAGTGCAATGTTTCAATGTAGATTTTACAAGAAAAAAATGCTACTTTAACCAACCCCGTGGTTAAATTAGTTTACAATGTGGTTAGAGTAGCATTTTTTTGTTGTAAAATCTACGTTGAAACATTACACTCACTGTTTTTCGCAATTGAATTGTTGAATCGGCAATTTATTTTTTTCCGTGTAGCTACCTACAGTGATTTTCCTTTCGGTTCCGTGATTGCATCCTTTCAGTGTTCATACTACATTTGTTCATTGCACTGATGGAAAGTTATGGTCAAGGCTGAAGCGCCTGCTACAGTCACCATGGTACAATGGTAATTTTTAAATAAGCATGTAATTATCTTGCACATTGTTTTATTGTCAAGCATAGCCTGAATTTACATAGTTTCGCTTCCATTGAATTGGCTAAAAGCTCGATACTTTGTTTCCTTTCAATTATGAGTAGCCAAAAACCGAACAATAATTTTAGTATCGGGAAATGCATTGTGTTTTCCCATCCAGCAGTAGATGCCTCCAGCAATTGGAACGGTCTGTTGCACGCAAGAAAAACATCCGTGTGAGTAGATTTAGTGGGGGTGACGTCGCACAAAAATTACGATGGTGGCATTAAAAATTGTGAAATTTTCTCATTAATGGCGCAGTTTGCGTTGTTTGAAACACCCCCTTTCAAATTTCCTGCTTCTGCGGGCTGTTTCCTGTCACCGTATACATATAGAAAAAAGCACCGGCAACTCGCAGCAACTTCCGGTGAACAAAAACTGGCAGTTCTAAACATAATATTTAGCAACATAACCTGAGACTATATGAAATAGAGAGATATAGTGTGCGTGGGCTTAGTCCACTATCAAAGATAACGTTTCGCTTCTCAACGAAACAAAAGAACAACAACCGACATGGAATCAGCGACCATTGAGGAAGCCTTGATACACGCACAAAATAAGTCTTATTTTGTTGATATTCCGTTTTAAATTCGGGATTTACTTGAAACCTTGAATTCCTGTGTATAATGATTGTCCATCGCTATATTCCAGATTTGTTTTGTTTCAGGATAAAGTAAGGACGCACACCGCAGTTCCGCTGCACACCGTAACCTTTCCGACGGTAATTAACGAGGCATATGTGCAGGCATTAGAGTGTAATGTTCAAATGCAAACCCTGCAGGAAGAATTCTACGCGAAGGGCTAGTTTGGTTGGCTACCAAAAAGAATAGGAATAAGGGCGCTATTTCCGACTGGCTTTGTCCATTTCTTTTCAGCATTCGCGTCCAAATAATAGAAAAGCTTGAATGTTCAAAGGTGAAATTTTGGACCCTACTTTGGCTGATAACTTGGAGAAAATTACCTCCGATAAGTTTCTATGATAGTTAAAAGCTCCACGATAAGTTTCGCGTTTAGAACCGAATGCGAGAGGTGCCAGCAAGTGGCGTAACCCTGCATCTAAGTCACTTAACACGAAAAAAGTGACAATGAATTACTGATTGCAGAATGAATACGCCTGGAAAATTATACTTTGTCTAAAATGTAAGATTCTGATTCAATTCATTCATAGCATTACTAAATTAAGACTGACGTGTGGATAAGAAGAAACATTAGCAAATGCCTGAGAATTTGAGGTCGACAATGTCTGTAAATGAAAAATGTTTCGAATCCCCAGCCCCCTTCATAATGATTTAGTAATGCGCACTGCACTGGAAAAAAAACACATCGGATCTAGAGTCCAGACTCTTAAAAACACAGACAAGAAAAATACTCTTGATTCAATCGGATTTAAGCTTAAATCAAGAATCCAGCCTCTTAATTTGAGCGGATTGCCTTTTGATTTATGCTTAAATGTGATTGAATCAAGAGTATTTTTTCTTGTCAATGTTCTCAAGAGTCTGGACTCTAGATCCAATGTGTGTTTTTTTTCCCCAGTGTGCTAAATATATATCTGAACGCACCAGCGTGTTTGATTCGATAACTTGTCCCCCAGAACACAAGCTCATTGTTCCCATTATCCACGCGTGAGTGAGCAAAATACGACGCGTTGCATTTCAGTAAGTTCCTCCGTCCCCCAGATGAAGAAAGCCCCCTGTCTAGCCCGAAATAATTTACCAGGGAACGCACGGGTGTACGTTACTGGAATGCAACATGTCTCGTATCGTTTACCCGCGGATAACGAGAACACAGAATAAGTTCCTTCGGTCAAATGACCTGAACTAAACACACCCTTTATAAACAAGCGCTCTCGGAATTATCACAGGGTAGGTTCTTATCCCTTGAAACGTAGTAAAAACAAAATTTCGTAACGCTCTCCCCGAACTATACCTCTAGAGCGTTACGCAATTCATGAAAGGTACATCCTCCGGTAATGAAAAATTTTCCGGTTCCCCTGTGTTGGGTGTTCAATTTCAGTTGTTCTGCCCCGACTTTTTATTTCCGATCACGAGTGACGATGTCGCGAAGTGAGATAAGGGGTACCGACAGTTGATGCCGATTAGTGACATACGATTGAAGTTGTAATCACCTTTCTTTCTGTGTGGAAATAAACCTTTGTCCGCCCTGTTTTGTGTGTGGTTTAAGGGTTTTGAGCAATTTCGGTGAGCAACTTGTTGATGAAAATTGGCGAATTGGCGAGGGCGTTAAGATTTCCCAGATGGCTGAATCGAGCCCGGTTCGACGATTCGGGTGCGAACGTGGCAAAGCCTGACTCGCAGCGAAGCCTCTGATTGGTCGATGATTTGGTCACGTTTGCTCCTATCGTGCCCTCGTTATACCTTCCACTGTCCGGTTTTTCATGCCGTCCTCCGGCAGGTTTCGGCTAGCTTTTGGCCCCCATGCTTCCAGCACTGAACAATTCCGAGCACCCTCCGAGGCAAGCCGTCCCGCTGGCCTCCTCTGAAAGAGACCCCTGAACGTGGTCTTGCCACCTCATTGATACGGCGTCCCCGCAAACGGGCGCTCCAAGCCATCCACTAGTCCAGGCAAATAAGCCATGAAAAGGGCTATAGCCTGCAAAAATCCCGGGTAGCAATGTTTTCATCGATTCCTACGTAATTTGTGACGCTGAATCCGAATTTCAACTTTGCGCCATTAAATTCGGACCGGAAAGTTGCCAAATTTGGCAAAAATGGCCTAAAATCGGACTTTTTTCCGGATTATGGCCTGTAACTTGCCAAAAATTGATCTGACGATAAAATTAGTTATTTTCAGAAATAAAGCTCGTTTTCCCTGTAAAAAAGTTACCATACACTTTTTTGCTCAATGCAAAATCAAGCGCGCTGGCGGGCTCCGAACTTTGAAAAAAGAGCAAAAATTGTGTTTTTCGCGGTTTTTGCCCGATGTCTCCTGTTTTAATCGTCCGACGAGTAATTTCTGGACAAATTAAGTGAAGATGATAAAATTTACACTTGGTGAAATGAATTGATGTAAATAATAAGGATAACCCAACACATTACAGTATGCGCAATTTTCGCACATTTTACAAAGTTCGGAGCCCGCCAGCGCGCTTGATTTTGTCTTGAGCAAAAAAGTGTATAGGAACTTTTATATAGGAAATTTAACGAGCTTTATTTCTGAAAATAACTAATTTTATCGTCAGATCAATTTTTGGCAAGTTACAGGCCATAATCCGGAAAAAAGTCCGATTTTAGGCCATTTTTGCCAAATTTGGCAACTTTCCGGTCCGAATTTAATGGCGCAAAGTTGAAATTCGGATTCAGCGTCAAAAATTACATAGGAATCGATGAAAACATTGCTACCCGGGATTTTTGCAGGCTCTTTTCCTTGTTTGCCTGGACTACACCTGAAACTCCACACCTTGAGATGCTCACAACGCCGTTGATAAACAACGTCGAACAATTTCAATCGTATCGCCGAGTTCATGCGAGACACAAATCAATTTTTTCCTTTCTCCCCTTCGAAGAGGGCTTAAACGATTTTGAAGTTGAGTTCTCTCACAAAATTGCCTTCTTTGTAATTGATTACAAATATGTAAATGAGTACGTAAATCTAATTTTCAGTGCTTTATCTTGCTTGTAGACGTAGTTACAGTTTAAAAATAAAGTATTTTGTCACCGCTAACACGCCGATGTTACTTCAAGTCCTTCAAAAGACGGGTATCGATTGAACTTGTGCTTAGACCATGGGCCCTTTGAATAGAACTTGCCACAAAAAAACAAAACAAAATGGGCAAAGCTCAACCCTCCTACAAGGCCGCTGCAACGGTGTTTCACCGCTATCTCGGGCGCCTCCGCAGTCCGCACTCAAAGCTCACGGAATGAGAGCACCCCCCGGCCCCCGCGGGATTTAGCCCTCGGACGTCCGCCCCGCCCGCATCCCGCGAGTCGCGCCCGTTGTCCCACCCAGCGGGCCGATTATTGAAATTGATCGACAAAGCTATAGACAAAGGAGACAAAAGAGGTATGGAGAGATCTTATTGGTGGAAGCGGGTGGTTGCAATGGACAAAGGAGGTAGGTAATAGACTAACTAACGGCAACCCACGTGAAACCCGACGGTTAGTCCATCATTTTCTCCTCAGTCTATAAGAACCACCCATTTCAACCGATAGGATCGCTCCATACTCCCTATGTCTTCTTTGTCTATAGCTTTGTCCATCAATTTCAATAATCAGTCCGCAGACGCTCCGGACCCCAACCCAACCCCGCTTCTGGAGCCGGACGTCCCGATAGACATTCGTCCTACGCCTCCCCGCCGTCTAACCTGACGAACATCCGTACTCGTCGACCACCAGCTGCCGCAGGAAGGCACCCCGGACGGAGGTCTTCTCACCCCGCCCAATACGAATCTGTCAAAAGGGGGACGTTCGCCCCACTTCTTTCCCCGCTCTATCCGTCACTAACCACAGCGGCGAGGCGGAAGTTCTTAAAAACGTGCAGTTTGTTGGGCACCCCCTCGGTACTGCCCCCGCTCCTGCCCACTCCACCGAGGCCGCGATCCACCAGCGGACTGATTATTGAAATTGTTAGACAAAGCTATAGACAAAGAAGACATAGGGAGTATAGAGCGATCCTATTGGTTGAAATGGGTGGTTCCTATAGACAAAGGGAGAAAATGATAGACTAACTGTCGGGTCTCTCGTGGGTTGCCGTTAGTTAGTCTATCACCTACCTCATTTGTCCATTGCAACCACCCGCTTCCACCAATAGAATCTCTCCATGTCTCCTTTGTCTATAGCTTTGTCTATCAATTTCAATAATCGGCCTGCTGTGCGATTCGCCCTCCTCCATCGTTGTTTCGGACACCTCGACCCCGCCATCCGACGCCAGCACTCGGATCCTGCCGCCAGGACCAGCCGTCCTGCCAGCCCAAAGACGCTTCGGCGACGTCTCGCATATTTTTCAGGTCCGAGGGATGTGGCAACCCAGACGATTTCCACCCACACGGCAGCAACCGCCGCCACGCTCGGCTTTTGTGTTTTTCTTTTATTGTTTTACGTGTGGGACATGATTTGGACCGAGTTTAACAGAAAGGAACGAAGCCACATCTGCTATTGCCAAATTTAACTGGGCAATTTAATTTTTTACGAGAGATCCTTTGTGCGGATTCCTTTGAAATTTTTGAGGAATTCGCTTCGAATTATGGAGAGTTTTCACTGAAATTTGCACGAAAATCCGCACAACCGTTTTCATGAAAAAAATTAACTTGCCCGATTAAATTTGACAATAGCTGATGTGGCTTGGTTCCTTTCTGTTTAACGCGGTCCATTTGTCTTGCAGAAAACAGTGGTCACCATAAGTTCGCTGCCGGCTCAAGATGGGGCCATCTCGACCCCGAAACGCAAACGCGTCCCGTTAAATTGTTAAATAAGCGCAAGGAAGAACGCGAAATTTTATCTTTGTTATACGATGAGAGTTCCAAGTCACTTGACCAAGAGATTTACTGGTTTCCGAGCGTACCCGTGGAGAATTTATTGGCCGAGGCCTGATACGTCCTCTTACATCAAATTTAAAGCTGCGAAAGTCTGGCAGAAGACCCTTTCGGTCTTGCTTCCAGGGTTGGCAAATGTACCAAAATATACAACTTGTGAAGACAACTCGAATAAGAACTTACACTACTGCAGTCATAAAAATTTAACTTCTGTAGGTACGCAAGTTTGGCTACACTGTTAAAAATTTCGAGCGCTAGTGTTTGGCGTGTTAGGGCGGACTAATTGTTTGCACTATTTTGATATACATAAGCACGGGTAGTTGCAAACACACTCTGTTTTTCGAACATAAGCGACCTATTCGCCCAGCCTAGAATACAAAATGCGGGTAAAATTAACACTACGGCAGTTAGTTTTAAACACTGAATTCTGCGTGTCTCTTTGAATCAAAAAGTAAGTTTCAACGACTGGTATATTTTGGTGAACCGAAACTTTTCTTCGACCAGGGTGCTCCGGTTATCCAACTGGAGTGCTTAAATGAACACCCTCGACTCTCTTCAGGGGGAGTGTTCAGTTCAGAGATCAGTTTCTTAATTCGCCACTAGCACATATTGGCAGTGCTTCATGAGCGAACGTGCGTGAATCCCC